AAATTTGATTCATACAAAAATAAGACTGGTAACAAGAAACTTCTGCAAAGCAATGTTGCAAGTTGAGTATCCCTTATCTGAAATGCTTCAGGTTTTGGATTCTGGAATATAAATATAAATAATGAGATACACTGGGGACCCAAGTCTAAACACAAAATTTATTTATGTTTCATATACACCTTATACACACAGGATGAAGGTAATGTAATATAATATGTTAAATAATTGTATGCATGAAACCAAGTTTGTGTACCTGGAGCCACCAGACAGCAAAGGTGTCAGGTGTAGAATTTTCCACTCATGGCTGTATGTTGGCACTCAAGAAGTTTTAAGATTTTGGAGCATATACAATTTGATTTTCAGATTAGGGATGTCCAACCTGTATTACATTCTGGGTAAGTTTGCTTTCAATATTACCAAATAAATAAAGGTGATATACTAACACTATATAAAATTTTAAAATATGGTTTCCAAGTAAAGTATCAACAACTTGTCTGCTGATATCTATAACTGCTAATCTGACACTGAAAACATTATTTGTGCCTCTCTTCTGTAATTAGTCCTGCTCAGAAGACCAATTTTTCCTATATTTCTTCTATCGCCTGAAAATTACTAAATTATGGTTCCCGAATGTTAAGGTTTGGTGAACAGAGATTTCACCAAAACCTTTAGATTTTCTTTTATAAATCATCCTTAATTTTAATTTGTCCCTTTCTTTTAGAATGATGAAGTCTGATTTTACTTATCTTTGGAGACAGTGTAAGGTCATCAGTTTAGACTCTACCCTCCCCCGTCTTATCACATGTGTCTGAAGAGCTTGGCACTTGCTATCCTCTCTTGGTTGAAACTTCCAGGCATAATTATTTTCCACCCACCTGGGTGTCTGACAGTGGAATGGGGTTCTGAGAAACTGAAACCAAATGTCACAGTGTTTTTTGGTCCCTAATCACACCTGCAGTACTAACAGTCAGCAGAGTGGAAAACAGGATTTATTACATAAACTGTGTCCTTCTGTTATCTCGGATAAGTCCACTCATGAGATCTAACACCTCCTAAGGAGAAAGGAAATGAACATTTATTAAGCACCTGATCCAGGTCAAGAACTCTCTTGGATCTACATTATCTCATTTAATCCAACAACTCTATTGAATAGTAATTACCCCCATTATAGATAAGAAAAATCTGTGCAAAGTAATCCTGCCAGTAAGTTTAAGAACTACGTTTTCAACCATGGTGCCTCAGATTCCAGAGCCAATATTGTTAATGCTCATTGAATTTTAAGGCTAGATCACAAAGAACCATGTACGGCACCTCATTCAATCCCTCTATGTTACAGATGACACCCAAAGTGATTGAGACTTGCCCAAATGTTTGTGGTGAAATGGGTAAGAATCCCAGTCTCCTGATTTTCAGTGCAGTACTATATATGATAATAATCTTTATTTTTGCATGCATATGTATGTTATATAGAGTCAACTCTATATAACATCTCAACTGTCCCCAAATAAAATTCTTACATGCAGCAATTTCAGGGCTGTACCTTTTTAGTAACCAAAAATATTAAATGAAATTGGCAAGAATAAAAACTGGTGCTTATGAATTACTACATGTTGTAAACAAGTCTGTCTCTACTGCACTTATCTGTTCAGTCAAGTGCTGTAATGTACAGGCTACTATGTTTGGCAATAAGGACACTGCTGTACAGTAGATAAGTCAGGAGTCCCTATTCTCATGGAATTTACATCCTGGAGGAAGAGATGAACAAGTAAATAGGCAATTATAATGCAGTGAGGTTGGTGCTATGGGAAAGGCAAGTAGGGATACCTAACCCAGACTAGACTTTTGAAAGGAGTTTATGGGAAAGATGAGTAGGAGTCAACTGGTTAAGGACAGAGAATGGAGTGTGCCAATGACTCAGAAAGTACAAACTGTATTTGCACCAGAGAGTACAGAAAGACCAAGGGAGCTGTAGGAGCAGGGAGGAGAAAGAAACCCAGAGAAAGAAGCCATACAGGTCCTTGACAGCCAGGGTCTAACACTCGTTTCTATTAGAATTTCCTGGTGAACTTCAAAACAAACAAACAAAACACAGATAACTGGGATCCATTTCAGACTAATTAAATCAGAAATCTCTGGGGGTGAGACCAGAGTATTTTTAAAAAGCTCCCTAGATTATTCTAATGTGTGGCCAGGATTGAAAACCACTGTTTATGCTGTAAAAGAAATTAATAAACATTTATGATAGCAAATATGGGAAAAGGAGATCTTCAGTAATTAAGCCTCCTTGGGAACTAATGTCTTCAGTTCTATTAAAAAAAACATGCTGGAGAAGATTAGATGCAGCGTAATACAGTGAAAGGGTCAGAAGACGTTGGTTTTGTCAATGAGTCTGTCACCTGCCAACTGACTTCAGATTAGATATCATTTCTTAGGGATAGTAATACCACCCTGTCTATGGCGCTGTTAATACAGCTCAAGGTAAGTAATACTTATGAAAAACTATTTGATAACTGTGCTAATGAAATGTAAACCATTATATTGTAAGATATACTTCTAAGGTTGAATAATTTTTAAGATTGTAAATATTTGAGGCCGGGCGCGGTGGCTCACGCCTGTAATCCCAGTACTTTGGGAGGCGGGTGGGTCACGAGGTCAAGAGATCAAGACCATCCTGGTCAACATGGTGAAACCCCGTCTCTACTACAAACACAAAAAATTAGCTGGGCATGGTGGCGCGTGCCTGTAATCCCAGGCAGAATTGCCTGAACCCAGGAGGCGGAGGTTGCGGTGAGCCGAGATCACGCCATTGCACTCCAGCCTGGGTAACAAGAGCGAAACTCCGTCTCAAAAAAAAAAAAAAAAAAAAAAAAAGATTGTAAATATTTTCACTGGAGATGAAATATTTTATAATGCTTAAGAAGCACACTTCATTTAAAGAATCACCTCTACCTTGGAATTCAAGATATAAATTGATAAGGTAGAGAACTGATCCCTTTAATGCTACTGTAGCTGCTCAAGAGATCAAATGGGATAAAGTTACCCTCTCTTCAAATAAACAGATCAACAAAGCAAGTGCCCTTTAAACGGTAATCGTAACTGTTTAAAAATCTTTATTCAGTAATGGGCGCTTATAAGAAGTGGCACGCAAAGTAAACTGGTTTAGAAAAAGTTATTACAATCTACTTTATGTCATATGTTATTCATAAGTTTAGTTTTTTTGGTTTTGCTTTTTAAGAGGATACTGATTTGGGATGGAGAGGATCTTATCCTGACAGGAAGGAAGCTCTGCCTCCAGAAGGGCTGTTCCACGCAGACCAGGCAAAGCCACTGCACTTTTACAGTCTCCCTTTAAACACAGCAAGCCCCGTGACAATTTACACTTCCATGAAGCCATTTTTCAGTTCAAGTACAATATATTTGTATTTAGTGACATCTCTTTAATGCTATAACCAGATTAATTTTTTTTAACTTAGGTAAATAAAACACTATTCTACATTTACAGGTGCTCCATTTTTAATTCTTTAAAACTAACAGGAATGTCTTTAAATTTTTATGCTCACAGAAATCATACAATATCAAGTTAATACTCATTTACTTTCTTATTTCCCCCATGATGCTATTATTACGATATGCTGTTATTTTTTTCAGTCACCTACTTTGTGAATTTAATAGGAAATATTTTGAAAAAGCACAAGGAACTTTTGAAAAAAGTTATGAAGTTTTATTTTGTTCCAAAATGTGAGATGAAAAAACCTAAGCAAAACACCACCACCAACACGAGCGCGCGCGCGCGCACACACACACAGACACACACCCCCCTCTTCAGATAATTTTGGCTGATGACACTGCAGAACGGTTAATCTGATAATTAAAATCTTCCAGAACATGTGATGTTTAGATGGAGTTCTATGCTGTTAACCAGACTTCAGTACTTCAGATTAAAAAAAAAAACAAACCTTAAAACCTGAATAGACACGTTAAATTGTTAGACTGTAGTTGCTTTGAGAGCTCATTAATATAAACACAAAGTGTTTAGATTTATCCAAACTAACTTAGCAACACGGTATTTTGAGTATTTTCTTAAAACACGCAGTCCAGCACATAAACCAATTTTGTACGGTGCAATGTAAGCAAATACCCAGAAAAATCCAGTTTCTAAGCAGGACAACACCGGACCAATACTGTCCTCGGCGGTTCGCAAGCCGTGGAAGCGGCCCCCGGAGCTAGCCTGGAATCCGCCTCCCCAAGCATTCCACGGGTTCTCCCGGCCACGCAAACTACGGCTCCAGACAGCGCTCCGCAGACCCGGGTCCCGCACGTGCACAAAGGCGCAGCGCCGGAGCGAGGACGCCCCGCCAGCACCGATCTCCACCCCACTCCGCCGGAGAGCGCGCAGGCCGCGTTCCAGAAAGCCCCTCCCGCCGCGCGCCCTCTTCCCCTCGCTCCCCGGTGCCAGCAGCCTCCTCCATCCCTGACAGCGTTCGGTTCCCACGTCTGGGGACGCGGCTGGCCACCGTCACGACCCCCTCGGCGCCCTGCACCAACCCCCGGAGCCGCGGTCAGAAGCGCCGCGGCCGAGCGGCCCCGTTCCGGGCCCGGCCCTACCTTCCCGGCCGCTGGGAGCCGCGAGCAGGCGCCGCTCGGGAAGCGCACTCGGCGGGGACGGCCGCGCGGGCCGCGGTCTCGGTCTATGAATGAAGCCGCAGCGCCGGCCTCGGCCGCCAGGAAAAAACAAGCTCGGCGGGCGGCGGGAGGGGGCCGGGCCGGGGCCGGCGGGCGGGGGTCTCCGGGCTGACAGCCCCTCCGCGGCGGCCCCGGGCGCGCTTCCCCGCCTCGGCCGCGGCCCAGGAGGAGCGGAAGGGGCGCCGGAGCGCGGCCGCCGGGGAGGCGAGAGGAGAGGCGCGCCCTCCCCGCGCACGGAAGCCCGGGGCCGGCGGGGGAGCCCGGTAGACCCGCAGCCCGCCCGCCCCGCCCGCCCGGCCGGTCCGCGCTCTACTCACGCTCGCGGCTGCTCCAGGCTCCGCGGCTCACAGCGCATCGGGTCCCGGCCCCGCGGGCGGCGGCGGCGCCGAGGGAGAGGAGCGCGGGCGGCTCGGCCCCGGCCTCCCGGCCCCTGCCCGCCGCCGCTCCGGAGCTGCCCGGCCGGGCCCGAGCCCTTCCTCGCGGGCGGCCCCGGCCCCGGTCCCCGCGGCCGCGGCGGCAGCAGCCCGAGAGCTCAGCGGCCGCGGCGGCGGCACCGGAACTGCCGCGGTCTCCTCCGCGCTCCCTCTCCTCGCCGGCCCCCGCCGCGCGCCCCCGCCCCCGACTCCGTTCTCCGTCGTCCCTGGTTTTTTTTTTTCCTTTTGTTTCCAGAATAAACTTTATTGGTCTCTTTTTCCGCTCACATCGTGTAAACAAACAACGAGCTCGTCCCCACCCCCTCGCCTCCCCCCTCCTCCGGCAGAGGAGGGTCAGCGCTGAGGCGGGGCCGAGCCTCCTGTGCCCCGGAAGCAGATGCGCGAGGAAGCGGAAGTGAAAGAGAGGCGAGGGAGCGCCGGGAATGGGCTAACGTGGGACTGCGCTAGTGCGCCTGCCCCTGGCTTTTCCGCCCGAAGTCCGGATGCGGCTCGGTGCGCTCCTGCGACGCGAGCGTGACGCTCCGTCTTCCGCGGTGGCGAGGGCGTCGTGTCGCCCCGGGACAGTGGACCCGACCTGCAGTTGTGTCTGCGAGCAGCAGGCAGGCCGCGGCAGGGATACAGAAAGGCTCACGGGGAGCGAGTTGGGTAGCTCTCCTCGGCGTCCCTACAGGAAACGAGGAGGGTTTGGGGGAGGCGCGGCGGCTCACCGGCGCGGTGACGAATTCGATACCGGGAAGAACGCTTTTCGCGAAGCGCTGCTGCGCGTTCCGCCGGCCCCGGGGGGAGGCGTGTCCCATCCCGGGCGGAACGCGCCGTCGGCTCCGCGGGCCTTTGCCCGCGTCGTGGAGACCGTTCGCTGTGCCCTCATTTAAAAAAAAAAAAAAAAAAGTCAGATTGTGACTTGACCCCGCTCGTAGGGTTCAGTTCTGAGCGTTAGAAGACGTGGAGATGTTTTCGCGGGAAGCCGACGGAGGCGTCAGAGGTGTGGGCTGCTTACAAACTTGGTTCGAGAAGGGCGTGCGCCGCGGAAGTCTGAGGGGGCGCGAACGGCCGAGAGGCCGGAGGTTTCCACCGACGGGCGCCGAGGCCGCGCGCCGCCCTCGTCCCTCTGCGCTCTGCTTGTGGTCGTTGGAAAAGCGTGGGGACACGCGTGCTCCAGCATCCGTTCCTCGGATTTTTAAGCAGTAGAGGCTTGGAATTGACCCATTTGGAGATGCTACGGCCCCGGTGTCATCTGGGGCAAAATCGAGCAGCAGTGGGTGGGATGGGTTGTTCTCCCTGCGGTGGGAGTTTCACTGGGCTGTGTTTCTTTATTTCCTGTGTTTTCTTTCTTCCTTTTTCTCCCTTTAGCTCTGGTTTTCATCTCACATTCCAGGGGATTGTGTTTCTAAATATTTTTCTCAAACCAGTGTTTTTCAGCGTTTCAGAACCCTGTTACTCCAGAGTACGGAATTTTTTTAAAAAGCAACATTGAATTGCTGGGCAAAGAAAATCTTAAGGCAGTATTTCCCAAAATGTGTTTCAAGCACAGAGTTATGCCAGGGATATTTTTCCTTCTAAAATTTATTATTTTTAATTTTATGTTTTTGAGCTGGAGTCTCACTCTCTCGCCCAGGTTGGAATGCAATGGCACGATCTAGGCTCACTCCGCCTCCGCATCCCAGGTTCAGGCGATTCTCCTGCCTCAGCCTCCCAAGTTACTGGGATTACAGTCACCTGCCACCATGTCAGCTAACTTTTATATTTCTTTTTTTCTTTCTTTCTTTTTTTTTTTTTTTGAGACGGAGTTTCGCCCTTGTTACCCAGGCTGGAGTGCAATGGCGCGATCTCGGCTCACCGCAACCTCCGCCTCCTGGGTTCAGGCAATTCTCCTGCCTCAGCCTCCTGAGTAGCTGGGATTACAGGCACGCGCCACCATGCCCAGCTAATTTTTTGTGTTTGTAGTAGAGATGGGGTTTCACCTTGTTGACCAGGATGGTCTCGATCTCTTGACCTCGTGATCCACCCGCCTCGGCCTCCCAAAGTGCTGGGATTACAGGCTTGAGCCATCGCGCCCTGCCAACTTTTGTATTTCTTAGTAGAGATGGGGTTTCACCAAAATTCCTGACCTCGGGTGATCCACCCCCATCGGCCTCCCAAAGTGCTGAGATTTCAAGTGTGAGCCACCACGCCCAGCCTATTTTTGATTTTTTAATTTTTAATTTTTTGTGTTTTTTTTGGGTAGAGACAGGGTCTTGCTTTGTTGCCCAGGCTGGTCTCCAACTCCTGGGCTCAAGAGATTCATCTACCTTGGCTTCCCAAAGTGTTGGGATTATAGGCGTGAGCAGACATGCCAGCCTAAAATTTTTTTTTTAATAAGTAACGAAATGCTAATTACCTGTTTTTTGTTATGTAATTATCTGCCCTTAAGAAGTCATGCGTTATAGCAGAAAAAGCCATACCTGGTACTTGAATGTGTGACACTATTCATTGGTGCAAAAGTAGCATTTCCTATCCAATTTGCAGTTGATAGTTGGCCTTCTATGGTGGCCATTGGTCTTAGGTGTCACCTTGCTTTCAAAGGTTTTTGCAGTGTTATTCAGTGTTTAAAATATCTATATGATATAAACATCTGTATGACCAAACTCATCACTCAAGGACTGGGAGCTGAAAGGTTTTTTTTTTTCCCCCCCTCAGAAGCCCAAGATCAATGAAAGAAGGTTTTAAAGAAATAATGATTCTCAGGCTGTAAATGAAAGAAGAAAAATGGAATGCTTCAAAATTAAATAATTGCATCCTAAGGGTTCTAAAGAAGTCAGGAAGTGAAATGTCCAATATTTTACTATAGTTCTGTTCTAATACATCAGAATTACAATGACAGTTACTTGCCTTTTGGGTTTATTTCCATTGAAAGTCATAACTGGGCCGGGCGCGGTGGCTCAAGCCTGTAATCCCAGCACTTTGGGAGGCCGAGGCGGGTGGATCACGAGGTCGAGAGATCGAGACCATCCTGGTCAACATGGTGAAACCCCGTCTCTACTAAAGGTGCAAAAAATTAGCTGGGCATGGTGGCGTGTGCCTGTAATCCCAGCTACTTAGGAGGCTGAGGCAGGAGAATTGCCTGAGCCCAGGAGGCGGAGGTTGCGGTGAGCCGAGATCACGCCATTGCACTCCAGCCTGGGTAACAAGAGCGAAACTCCGTCTCAAAAAAAAAAAAAAAAAAAAAAAAAAAATAGAAAATTATAACTGATAAATATGCACCAAAATATTCTCTAATACCACTTAAGTCACTACTGACTTTTAAAGTCCTTTGTAAATAAGAGTCAACTTGGTTATGTAGCAGTCTACTTTAAATGTATAAAATTGCCAGGTCAAACAATTAAAACACACACACCGCGAGATAACTATTTGAGCTACCATATAGCACTTTTAACTTCTGTTGTGGTTAGAAAACATACTTTTGGCCAGGTGCGGTGGCTCAAGCCTGTAGTCCCAGCCCTTTAGGAGACTGAGGCAAGTGGATCACCTGAGGTCGGGAGTTTGAGACCAGCATGGCTAACATGGCAAAACCCTGTCTCTACAAAAGTACAAAAATTAGCCGGGTGCGGTGGCACATGCCTGTAGTCCCAGCTACTCAGGAGGCTGAGGCAAGAGAATCACTTGGACCTGGGAGGTGGCAGTTGCAGTGAACCAAGTTCATGCCACTGCACTCCAGCCTGGGTGACACAGACTTCATCTTAAACATGCACACATATCCACACACACAAGAACAACATGCTTTTAAGAGTTTAGTTCTTTGCAATTTAAGGTTTGTGTTGCCCCAGAATATCTTGGTGAATGTCCCATGTGCACTTAAGAAAAAGCATTAATATTATTAGGTGGAATGTAGTTTCATACCAAGTTGATGGTTTTGTTAGCATTGATATAATTGTAGATTTCTTTCTCATTTCACTTCTGTGTATTTTTGCTTTGTGTGTTTTGAAGCTTTGTTGTTAGAGGTATACACATTTAGAACTATGTGTTTTGGTAAATTGACTCTTTTTAATCAATCTGTGCTATCTCTCTTTATTCCTAGTAACATCTTTGTTCTGAAATCCAATTGGTCTAATATTGATACAGCCAGTTCAGCTTTTTTGATTACATTTTCCATTGTATATTTTTTCCCATTTTTTAAATCTATTTTTACATTTAAAGTAGGTTACTTCTAGACACCACATATTAGATCTTTTTAAAAAATTCCAATCTGATAATTTCTGTGTTTAGGTAATTTACATTCAATGTAATTATATGCTTGGATTTAGGTCTGTCATTTTATTATTTGTTTTCTGTTTGTCCTCTATATTTTTGTTTTTATTTTCCTACATTCTTTTTTTTTTTTTTTTTGAGACAGAGTTTCGCTCTTGTTACCCAGGCTGGAGTGCAATGGCGCGATCTCGGCTCACCACAACCTCCGCCTCCTGGGTTCAGGCAATTCTCCTGCCTCAGCCTCCCGAGTAGCTGGGATTACAGGCACGTGCCACCATGCCCAGCTAATTTTTTGTATTTTTAGTAGAGACGGGGTTTCACTATGTTGACCGGGATGGTCTCGATCTCTCGACCTCGTGATCCACCCGCCTCGGCCTCCCAAAGTGCTGGGATTACAGGCTTGAGCCACCGCGCCCGGCCTATTTTCCTACATTCTTATGGATTATTTGAAATTTTTAAATACTCCATTTTAATTTCTACATTGTAGTTTTAATATATTTCTTTGTAAGTTGTTTGGTAGTTTTTCCGTGGATTATAATATATATACCTAAACTTTTGCAGTCTACTTAGTATTAATATTACACCACTTCAAGTAAAATGTAGAAAGAAGCCTTCCAACCATATAGGTTTACCGCTGTCTCCTACCCCACTCCCTGAACTTCATGTCATTAGTTGGTATCTGTATCACATTTATATATGTGGAAGCTCCATCAGATGTTTTTGTAAGTTTTGCTTTCAATAGTCGTATAGAACTGAAGATTAAATAATAATCTTTTATATTTACTTACCCATTT